CAATGTCCCCTGATGAAGACTTGAAAATGAATAACCTGCTTGTAGCATAATTTGCTTAGTTTGCAGTAAACAAAAAGAAGACAGAGAGTCAAATCACATGCTGTTTTATTACTAAGCATTCTATAGCCTTTATCACTCATTTTATATGACTCAACTGGATAAGGTCAGATATAAACTAACTCTGGTATAGATATTTCTCAAGACAGAGTTTTTTCATCATAGAAACTTCTGAGGTTTTTTAAATAAAGTATTACTATTATTATTATTATTATTATTAGTAGTAGTAGTAGTAGTACTAGTAGTAGTACTATTATTATTATTATTGTTACTATTATTATTATTATTATTATTATTATTATTATTATTATAGAGCTTAGTATAACCATATGTCAAATTCAGACTACCAGTTTTCTGTTGCCGATTTTCATTTTGTTAAACTTGGTTTAATTAAACATATTCAGTTGGTGTGAAAGGGGGAATAGTTATAATGTAACATAATTTTAAATAAGTAATGGCATTTGTCACAACAAGTTCATTTTGTATTTCTACCGATAAAAAGAATGCATTTCTTTCCAAATTTTATGAATCTCTTAAGTTTAAACAAATATTCTTTCTTTACAAGGCAATGGTTCAAGTCTTTCAGGATCTCATCCATTCTTTCCACAATAAAAAGCAACCTGCTGAATTCCATAGCAAGTTTCTTACTATAAGTTGTGCCACTTGAAAACGACATCCTAATGGCCACACCCTCTAAAACTAGATGAGCCTGAAATTTAAAATTGAACACTTCTTTCAAATGGCTGGCAACTTTATTCTCAGACAGGAGAATCAAATGCTTCTCAGTGTGACTTGCCCCCTTTATATCTGGCTTCAAAGGGAAACTTTTTGTATAAACATCCAGTCCTTGTTCTATCTTGTCAAGCTTCCTATGAATCTTACATATCAGATTTGATGCCCTTGCCACTCGGCTTGTAACTGCAACATGCTCATAAGAGATTTCATTAACAACTTTTGTTGGCAGGTGAATTTTTCGCAGATGAACAATTCTACATTCGTGAGAGTGACTGAACCTCTGGAGGCAAACCCAGCAGAATTCATAGTGGCACAAGATGCATGTCATGTGATTACACCCCAGACCCTTCTCCACAGGGTAGTAACAGGAGGGACAATGCTTCACTTGAACGCTTGTAATCAGCCCCCTTCTTTTCTTGGTTGTCACCATCCGAGCATAAGATGCATTTTTTTGTCTGAAGATCTGTGCCTCCTGACATGTTGCAGGCCAGTGTGCATCTTCCTGGCACTTGAAGCACCACATGGTACCACAGACACATACCACTGGGACTGGCTGGATACTGGCATTATTCTTGGCATCAAAAGCTTCTGAGGTGACCTGTGTTGTTGTTGCCTTGACAACCAACTTGCACTGGTCGGCAGGGCACCACTTCCATTCTGGGTCCATTTCCAGGAATGTATCAAGCCTCTTTGCCAGATGTCTTCCATACAATGACGGCACAAGTGACATCAAGGTAACATCATCAACTGTTGAACTACACTCGTACCCAGGGCACCTCAGAACTGTGTGGCCGTGCTCAATCTGGGTCCTCAAGTGAGCCCTCCAGCACTCATTACAGAACTGGTGACCACAGGCAGATAAGGACAGACAGGACTTGGTAATATCACAATCTGAAATACAATATTGATTACATACTGTTATTTTGCAATCAATGCATTTTTACTTAAACAATAAAATCGTGACTTTCCCCATTAGACTATAATCTTATGCAGAAATATACTTGTAGTAATACTATTTTACTATAATTACAAGCCAACCTTTTAATGACAGAGTCCCCAGTATAAA